CTTTATGATGCCATTTGCATAAGGCACAAACACAGGTCACAGGTGCCTGTGATGCTAGGAAATTAGGATAGTGCGTATCCATGTGGTGGGAGGTTAGGAGACTGAGAGGGGTTTCGGGGAAGTTGGGTATGTTTGTATGTATATTTTCTCTCTCTCTCTCTCTCTCTCTCTCTCTCTCTCTCTCTCTCTCTCCTCTTCTTACAAGGGCACTAATTTCATCATCAGGGCTCCACCTTCATTACTTGATCACCTCTCAAAGTAACCATTGCCAAATTCTATTACATTGAGGGTTAGGGTATCAGCACATCAGTTCAGGGGAAACACAAATTTTCAGTGCATAGCACCCCAGCCCCATGTCTGGGGGAGCAGTAGATGCAATGGTGGCATTCTCCAGCTCTCAGCAACTGTGATGTCATCCGGTGCACATGGCCTCCAGACTCACTTCTGACCCAGGAAAGAGACCCCCAGGGGTATCAGGAGCCTGGACAGCTGCCCTGTTTATGTCCCACCGGTAAAATGGGGCAGGTTAGAGTTTTCCTGAGGGCTCCTGGAGCCAGAGATGCCGGGGCTCCCACCCTAGATGTGATGGGGGCAGGGCTGGCCCTCCACACAGAGTGGCCGGCCCCAAATGCTGGCAGCAGTTGTAGCTGGCCGCCCACGCACAGGCAGGCAGGAGGCAGGGTGCTGCAGCCTCGTTGCCAAGAGCACAGAGAACTTTCCACTGGGTCCAGATTTTTCGTCACCATGGCAACTACTGGGGGGTGGAAACAGAATTCCTCAGCATTCTGAGCAGATTATATGGGGGAAGAAAGAACAAGAAAGTGAGCCCTGAGCTAGCAAGGTCAGGACTAGCACCCAGTAGGCCCCACACCTCCCCTCTGCCCTTTTCAATCCCTTCTCCCTCTTTTAATGTTTTTCTCTGTCTCCTGTTCTCCTCTGTCTGCATCCTTCATTCCCACGCCCTTCCCTGGATCCTCGCCCCCAGGGGCTGTGGCTGCTGCTGCTGCTGCTGGCATGTGCGGGCACCAGGCACCATTCCCAGTGCCTCACACCTGTGAGCTCTCTTCACCTCCCAGCCCTGGGCAGTGGGCACTATGCTCATCCCCACTTTGCAGGTGAGGACGTGGAGGCCCAGGGAGGTGTCGTGGCTTTCCCAGTGTGCACAGTAAGTAGCAGACTCCAGTGACTGCATCCGTGGCTTGAAGTCTCTGGATTGGCTTCCTTGTCTGAGAAACTCAGGAGCTGCTAAGGAAATGGGGCAATGCAGGGGGCAGAGGGGAAGCAAGGTGGCACATGACCATACTCTGGAGACTGCACAGGTCCTGCCCACTTCTCCCTTTCCTCTGTCTTCAATCTTTATGAACTTCTTGGTTTAAGCCAGGGCAGAGGGCAGTGCCAACTGTCGGTATCTTCTTGGTATCACTTTGGGCTGATATCCTGGTCTTGGCTGGCCAGTGCTCTCTTGTTCAGGCCCAGGGAAGGCTCCCTGGCTTAAGAGTGCCATTGGGAAGTCCAGAAGGCCAGAGACCTGGGTGCCATTCCCAGCATCCTCCCCATCCTCCCTTAGGAAGTGGAGAAGAGACTCTGGCCCAAGGAGCCTGGCTTATGCCAGCCCTGGTCCTGCAAGGCACTGCTTCAGAATTCCAGGGCCGCATCCCTCTCCTTGGGGCCTTTCAAGAGACGGTGAGGGACTGGTAAGGACATTGTGGAAGCAGTAGAGGTAACAAGTCAGCCATCCTGGTCGCTTGGCATGAGCTCATGGCGAGGACTCAGACAGGCTTATGAACACCAGGACAAACCCGAGACTGGGAAAGATCTGCTTCACCTCTAGGAAACTTCCGTTCATGGCTTTAAAGATAGCAAACTCCTTTCCAGCCTGTCTCTGCTTGCCCCTCACTCGTCCCTGGCTTCAAATCTTGAGGCTCAACCTCCTCCTGCTCACTGCCTTTGGTGCAATTTTTGTATCCCAGTCCTTCTGTATAGCGTCTCACAAATCTTCCAAATCTCTGGCTCAAATATCCAAAAGAGAAACCTCTTAATTACTATCACCATGACTGGGCAGAACTCTCCCTCCAGACCATCCCGTTGGCTGCCTTCCAGGCTACTGATTGGCTGCCCTGGGTCTAGTGCTCCCCCTAGTCCAATCAACTGAGGCCAAAGTTGGGCCTTATGTTACCAAATATTTTTGTTAAGATGATAGATGTATTTTATCAACCTTTAGGTAATTTGTGGATTCTTTAACCTGAGCAGTCATGTCAGTAATTTGGAGTGTGCTGTACACCCTGGTGATTATTTGGTTACTTCTCTGCTGCAGTAGAGCCAGTTGAATTGGAGTTTCTGGTACCTGCAACCAAAGCCTGGTGGCCAGAACCCCATTTCTTGGGTTTATAACAAAAGTGAATGAGTCATAACCTTTTTAAGCTCAGACAGACCTCTCAGAGCTAAGGTGATGGGATCCAGAATATTGCCCTTAGAAACCCAGAGATCCTGCTTCTGTTCCTGAGTCTCCCTGCAGGGACCAGGAAAAAGTGCCTAAGGGTCTTGTGCTCCCACCTGCAGTCACTGGTGGGTGCTTCCTGGGTCCAAGATGCCTAGGCTGGAAAGGACTACAGCTGATGCTCACCGGACCCCTCCTGCCATTTTGGTCAGGGGAGGACCCTGAAACACAAACCAGGCTTTGGGAGCATGTGAGCCCTCCATGTGAGGTCCCAGCTTTTTGTCACCCATGTGGAGGTTCATATCTGCAGCCACAGGCTTTCCCAACCCTCTCAGGGCTCAGCACAGTCTCCAAGCAAGCCAGCACTCCCTGCATCTCCCCTGCTCCTAGAGCCGAACAATCAAAGGGACCGCAGCTGCAACCCACACATCATTCTTGCCGCATTGTGTGGGCAGATGAACCAGCTTAGCCCTACACAGGGAGGATGGGAAGACAGGGTGGCTGTGGTGGCAGAGGACCTCTTACTCCACAGCAGGACTAGGCATCAGAGAACGCCCAACCTAATTCCCCAATCCCGCAGCTTCTCATGCCGCAGAGCCACCCTTTCAGTGTTTTATGGAGTCATTCTTGACATGAATAAAAATCAGCTTCCTGGTAACTTCCACTCATATGGCTTCCCCCTGACACATGGAGTGCGCATGCCTAACTCCACCAAGCCCACCCAGGTCTGTGGCCTCCACACAAGTCTCAACCTCAGAACCCTCACCAGAACCATCATTTCTGCCTGTTGTCCTTTTTCTAAAGTAGGAAGGACAAACTGAAGCCTTAGGGCCCCAAATCTAGCCCACCACCTGTTTTTGCAAATAAAGTCACAGTCACATCTATTCATTTGCTGTTGTTTATAGCTGCATGTATGCTGCAAAGGCTAAACTGTGTGGTTGTAACAGAAACTATGTAGCCCACAAAAGCTTAAACTATGAGGCATAATTGAAATATATGATGAATATTTAAATTTTAAAAATGATGACAGTAAAAGACACATTGCCATTAATCCCCTCCAAACTATTCTCTGTCACTTTGAGCATGTCATTCTTGCCACTTTCTGAAGCTGTTCTGGAAATATTCTTTCATGAGGGTTAGATGCACGGCTGCCTCGATGTCTTAAATCGATTAAAAACGTTTCCTTTCACAGTCATTTTGACTTTGAAGAGCCAGAAGTCACACAGAGCCAGGTCCAGTGAATCAGGTGGACAAGGACACGCTGTAATATTTTTACATAACTGCCTTTTGGTGGGATGGCACTCAGCTGCAGCATTCACCATATTTTTTTCCACACGTTGTAAAGACACTCATGAAAGAGAACTTTCAGAACTGCTTCAGAGAGTGGCAAGGATAATGGGATAAATATCTTTGAAGCAAGAGAGCATATTCTGAGGGAGTTAATGGCAATGTTTCCTTTAATGTAATAAAATATTTAAAATTTAAACATTCACCATGTAATTCAATCATACCTTATATTTACTCCTGGCCCTTTATGGAAAAAGGTTTCTGACCCTTGTTCTAAAGCAATAGTGTTCTCCAACACGGAACAGGAGAGGCCGGGGATGACTGTTCAGAGTGGACACCCTCCTTGCCCTTCTTGGGTCCTGTATATAACACTCTGTAGTGTCAGATCCTATAAGGTTTGAGCAGCCACGGTCCAATATTGGCTCCCAGAGAGAATGGATCATCAGCAAAACGCCCAGACTGTTCTCACAGCCTTTGCTGGGTCCTTTAACCAAGACAAGCTCCTCCAGTCCTTGATTTTGCAGGGCTTACATTCATCTTGGTTTTGTTTCCTTTTGTTGCCTTTGTCCCAATCTCTTGCCTTGAATCCTAGAGTCTGTGTCCGCCTATGAGTTAGTCCACCCCACTTTGTGTTTTCCGTATATTTATTCAGCTTCTCTTCTGTGCATTCACCAAGTTGTCAAGTTTGAAAGAGCCCCATGGAGACCTCCATGCCAGGTTGTAAAGGAGCTACTAGCAAATGCCTCTTAGTCACATTAACCAACCTGCTGTGTGCTGTCACATCCCTCTACCTACAATCTGCAAGGCTCCATTTTACCTTTATTTTTTCCCCCAGTTCTGGGGATTGAACCCAGGGCCTTCACACGAAGCCTCATCCCCAGACTTTTTAATTTGAGACAAGATCTCATTAGATCACTAAACTGCCTTGCTGGGGTCCAACGTGCAAGCCTCTTGTCTCAGCCTCCCTCCCGGGTGCTGGGATTACGGTCCTGCACACCGCACCTGGGTCTACTTTACTTTTGGAAGTTAGGGTGCTGTGGGACATTTTGTGAAATATCTGCCTGGGCATTTAGCCTCAGGGATTGCTCCTTCTGTTTTAGAAAATTGAACCACAGAACAGAAGGAACTTTGGAAATCACCTAACAAATCTGCTCTCCTTACAGATGGGGAAACTGAGGCCAAGGCAATGACGGTCCACAGTGGCAGAGAAATTGGTGGCAGAGCCAGGAGGAGCGGTCCCTTTGCATGACATCTCGATGGTGCAGACCGGATATTAAAGGAAGTGACTGCTGTGGTCCAGGCATGTCACAGATCACTGCAACAGAAGGGTCTTACTTGTTCACACTGGTCCTGGGTGGATATTAAGGGCGAGGTTCAATCTGTCTTCCATACTGACCTTCAGAGACCCAGGTCTCTTCCATTCTGCAGTTCTTCACCACAGTCTGCCTCCAGGGACAGAAGACAGAGCCCTGGGCCAGTCAGGTCAATCCCACTTCCGCTATGTTGAATACCATGGCACTCTGCTCTGGTGTTTACTGCTGCCCACATCCTGGCCTTGACCTCTTCCTTCCAGACCTCGGCCTTGTCTCGCTCAGCCCTTCTGTCCACCCAGGAAGGCCCTGCCTGGGGTCCGGCTGGCCAGTGGGCGAGGCTGCAGCCAAAGTCTCCAAGCGGAGGGGGCTGGAGTCCCTGAGCAGCTGGTGTGTGCGCTCAGTAATCATCCAGTCTGCATGCAGGGGGGCTGCCTCCCCCATCCTGTGTCAGGAGAGAACAGGAAGCTGCAGCTGGCAAGTCCACAATTGGAGTCTGCCCACGCAGAGCTACAAATCCTTCTCCCTGAATTTCAATGTGCCTGGTGCGGCAGAGAAGGAAGCTGTTCCCACCTCTAAGAAGAGTTGCTGAGACAAAGGGGGCTCCTGCTGCCCCCTCCGAGGGTTGACCGCATAAGCCTGGGAAGGCCTGGCTTCTCTTCTGAAGGCCCTGTTTTTGCCAGGGTCCATCCAGGCTGGCATGTTTCTTGGGAACAATGGGAGTCTGGGCCATCGGGCCTGGCATTCAAGGCCTCCTCCTTCTAGCCGCCCCCACCGTCTTTCTCTCTAACGGGTCCCCAGAGCATGCTCTTTCCCAAGGCAGTGCATGGGAAAGAGCATGGGGGGGGGGGGGTCTTTGGAGTCGTGTAATTCGTGGTTCTGCCAATTTTCATCAGTATGGCTCGGGCAATCGCCCCGTGACTCAGCCTCCTTACAATAACGTTAAGTGAAACCCGTGAATCAAGTGAAAGGAAGGGGTATGTAAAAGAGCCTCGTGTAGCACTCCATAAATATTCAGTTTTTCTGAATATTCTCTGTGTCATTCCCCTTTATCACCTGGATCCTCCTCCTGGCTGCCCCCACCCAGCTGTCACTTACAGATCAGCTAGTTCCTCGCCGATCTTCCAATGACTTCTGGAGGTAGGAGGGAGAGGACCTCCACCCAGCACATACTCCTTCACCATAGCGCTCACTGATGGGGCCATTAGACCTTTGTAACCTGAATAAACTGACATGCTCCATGTGAGCCAGTCCTTGCAAAGACTCACAGTCCAGCATCCAAAGGCAGTTTTAGGAAAACATTTCAATTCTCATTTTTATTGTTGAGAAACAAACTCATAACCCATAGGAGACTTTCTTCTCTCCCCAGTTCTCACACACCCTGAAGCTCAGCTCTGCCAAGCTCACCCCACAAACTCTCTCTGCTCCCCCCCCCAAGTCTTTTTCCCCTCTGTCCCCCTGGGCTGTGTGCAGCCTAGGGGTGAGGTGGGGGACACGGACACCTGCACATTTACAATTCTTGCTCTCTTTATGTTCATATTTACTTGGGGTTCCTTCTCTACCTGTGAACTCTAAGAGAAAGGGGCTGTGGATTGGCAGGGTGACTTTTGACCTTGTATAATTTCAAACAGGCAGAAAATTTGCAATAGTACAAGGAGCTACCTTATATCCTTGGCCCAGATTTACCAGCACTTGCTTTTTGTCCCATTCACTCTTGCTCTCTGAATCCTTATTATATATGCATTATATATTTAATATATGTAAATTTTTTCTGAAGTCATTTGCAAGTTGAAGATAACATTCCTCTTTACCTCCGAATACTTCTGTGGGAATTTCCTAAGAAAAAGAACATTCTCTTATATAATCATAGTACAGTTATCAAAATCAAGAAATTAAAATAGTCCAGCAATAATGCTATTTTCTACTTCACAGACCATATTCAAATGTCTTCAATTGTCCCAATGATGTCGTTTTTAATTTTCACAGTCCAGGATCCAATCCAAGGTCTTGAATTGTATTTAGTTCTCATATTTCCTTTTTTTTAAAGAGAATTTTTTTAAAACAATACAAACAGTACAGAATTTTAGTTGTCGTATTTCCTTAGGTGAAAATATTTTATGGTTTATTTTTTCTGAATCCTTACCCCTACCCAATAGTGCTCAGAATAACACTGCGAGTTTAAGAGTAACTCAGTAAAATATAGATTTGAATTGAAAGCAAAAGGTTTAAAAGTATTAATTATAATGTTTAGATTTTTGAAAATTTATTACAGTAAAAGACATTGCCGCCTATAATCCCAGCACTTGGGAGGCTGAAGCAGGAGGATCATTGCAAGTTCAAGACCAGCCTGGGCTACAAAGTGAGCCCAAGGCCAGACTGAACTGCATAGCAAGACCCTGTCTCAGAAAGACAAAAAAGGAGGAAGTATTAATTGTATATTTTCATACCATATAGCAAATACTGTGGTTACGTATTCAACAGTCGTTTCTCGTAGGTTGGTGGGTGCGGTGGTGTGGTTGGATGAGAAAATATGGACAGGTAAGTGGATATACAGACAATGGATAGGACGGTAGGTAAATAGGTGGGTAAGGAATAACTGGATAGGGAGGTAGATGGATGGATGGATGGATGGATGGATGGATGGATGGATGGATGGATGGATAAGAGATTAGTTGATAGAATGGGTTATATGAATGGATAAGTAGAGGAATTTGTGAATATGTGAACAAATGACGGATGGATGGTTCAGGGGATGAATGGTTAAATGGGGAACTGGTGTGTGGGTGTTGTTAATGCCTGACAGTCACAATGATCTGCTGGATGGAGTACACAGGTGGGCTATATAAGTACTAATTCCCCAAAACAAATGTAATTATTATGTATCACAAACATATACTAACAAAACTAAGAAGAAAATGTCTTCGTTCAGGATCCGACTCTGCCTCCTAGGACTGCTGAGTGATCCTCCTGTAGGGATCCTCTGGGTTCTTGCTGTACCCCGGGAAGGAATGGCAGTGAGAGTGAGGAAAAAATAAGCAAGAGACAAAAAGCTGGGATCAGGTGGAGGTCCTCTCTCTCAGCGGAAAAGGGGAACCACCTAAGAACAGTAGAGTGTTTATTTATACCAAGAGGTTGGTTAATTTTCACCTCGCTGTCCAACAATCAGTTAACAAGCTGCAACAGCTTGTTCCCGTGCTTCGAGGAGCTCCCGTGTTCTCGGAGCTCCACTGTTCCGGGGCTAGCTTCGTCCTGCACCTGTAATTACCTTCCAGCTTCCGTGGCTCCCGACACCCTTCCCTACTTGGGACCTCAGCAATGTCCTGTATAAAATAAGGGTGGGAGACTGAGTGGCCTTCTTGGTGTCTTCCACTTTGGTCCAACTCTGGGTCATACAGGTGGTGCATGACAGAGCCCAGACTTGGAGCTGGACAATCTGGCTCTAAAGCAGGTGCTTTTAAACTATTCTGCTTTATGGCCACTATTGAACACTGGAAGAAAGACACCAAGGCCAGCCAGGGGTTCCTTGCTCCCTAGCACTGAGCTCTCTCTCTATTTCCCATCCCATCAAGCCCCTGCCCCAGCCCACCACCCTGCACCAGGAAGTGCTTGGGTTTGTTTCACATCTCTCTGCCTTGCCTAGAGCCAGGGGGTGACACAAGTGATATTTTCCACAGGCCCTTCCCTGCTCGCTTTCCTCTCTGCACCTGTCTGTCCCTATCCCCAGAGCCCTTTGCCCCACACCCCACCTGCAACACACACACTCAGTGACTTGCAAGCCTTCCTGCCTCCTCCATGCAAAAAGCACTATCAGAGAATAATCATTAAAAATCAGAATTCAGTAGGAAAGTGGCATTTGCAGTATAGTATGGTTTTCAATGTGTATGATAATTTAAGTTTGTAGGGTAAGGTGAGTATCAGAATCCCTTTAAAATATACGGCCTGGAAAAATCTGGAAAACCTGCCTGTGAGGAGCTAGGAGCCACTTGGCTTCTCAGGCTGAGCTACCCAGGGCTGGCAGAGCTGAGGTTGGCCATGGCATGCTGGAGGTCTGCTGATGTGAACGCCCTGTAAGTCATCAGAGGAACCCTAGGGCTGTCTCCCAGCCTCAATTCCTGCAGCTCAGCTTCCCTAAGCCCACCCCAAGTCAGAAATGGTCCCTTTCTTTCCCCAGATCACAGCTCTCTAGCTACAAGGGAGACTGTATGGCAAAGACCATAGACACTTCTAGCATGAATCAAGACTTGAGCCCAATGCAGCGGGGAGGAGAGGGCCCTTGAAACCCAATGTACATCATTTGTTCCAATGCAAAAGCAAGGGCCCTTACTAAGAGCTGCCCTGGCAGTGACCCAAAGTTGTGACCAGGCCAACAGTCTGATTTGAAGGTTCAAGTTGGAAGAGGTGATGAGTATTACTGCCAAGCCCTTTCTCAGACGTTTTGCAGAAGTCACTCCATCCAGAGCACACACAGGATACAAGTACATATTATGCAACACTCATTCTGGGAGGTGGAAGTAGGGGGATTACAAGTTTGACCCCAGCATGGGCAATTTGGTGAGACCTTGTCTCAAAGAAAGGCTTGTGGGAGGGAGCTAGAACTATATCTCAGTGTGAAGGCCATGGGTTTAATTCCCAGTATGGGAGAAAAGGAATCCTTTGGATAGACTGAGTGCATCTAGTCAACGAAGCATTATGCAGCTGTATATTTCATCACCCTAGACAATGAAATAATTTCTAACACATATTAAGGAAAAAGATAGGCTGCTGAAGTAGGTGCATAGTTCATTATTTTTGTAGAATGGGGGAAATACACATATATATTTCCTTTTATTTTCAAAAAGAAATAATTGTTGAAATTTCAAAGCTAATAAAACCAAGGGAGGTAGCTGGATGTAGAATTTTCTGAACGTGCCTTGATAGTTTTGGTTTAGGATCAAGTAAATTAAAAAAAATAGAAAAAGTCAAAGATTCTCTAAAGATTTCTCAAATCATATTTGAGGCAGGCATGGTAGCACACTCCTATAATCCCAGCTACTCAGGAGGCTGAGGCAAGAGGATCACAGTTCAAGGCCAGCCTGGGGAACATAGTGAGACCCTATTTTAATAAAAGTTTTTAAAAGGGCTGGGGATGTATCTCAGTGGTAGTGTGCTCACTTAGCATGCGTGAGGCTCTGAGATCAAACCCCAGTACTTGGGGAAAAAAAATGCACACATTAACTGAAAAAAAAAATGAACCTAATTTTATATCATATGGTTATACTAAGTTGCCAGTATAACCATCTGGTAAAAAATGGTTTGAAGTGCCCTTAAAACACACTACTTTGACTATACATTCTTCAGAAAAAATACACACAAAGCAACTGCATTAGATTGTGTATCTATTGTGTAACCATGCTGGTGTGATTTTTGAAACTATTTTCATGTGTGAATGTATCTGTGGATAGATGGATGAAATAAATAGATGAGAGAGAATATGTGTGATCAAGAGAGAGAGCACAAACATTCAAGGAGTTAAGGAAAACAAATATAAAGTTAAAAAGCTAAAAGTTTACCCTTTACTCTGTAATTGAATTGGAATGTCAGTATAACTCAGGGCTTCTTTCCTTTTCTCCAAAAGAAAATTTTTCCCTTGGCATTGTCCACTGAAAAGTCTTGGAAGCAATAATACCTTAATAGCAATAAACACATTTATTGTCTAGCTTGTGATCTCTAAGTATCATTTCCCACTATAAAAACCCAGGGCTCACTGGGGAAATGACTGTTTTCATCCCTGGAGCAGAAAATGTACGAGATGATCTTGTGCTTGACAGTGAGGAAGTGATCA